GTTTTAGAGCCATTAATATTTCGTCCACTAGCTTACGTGTTTTTTAACATGCACACGAAGATTGTATCGTCTTGTTTCTCCTGTAAAATGCTTTTTTTTCCGAGTGCAGTATGTAGCAGATACTCTTCCATTTGGGGGAGTTGGTGAATCTGGATTTGGAGGGTACCATGGGAAGTTCTCATTTGATGTGTTTACACATGAGAAACCAGTAGTAAGAAGAGGTTTCCTTACAGATTTCTGGTTCAGATATCCTCCATGGAATGATATGAAGTTGCAGATTTTTAAATCTGCGTATAGATTTAATTATTTTGAAATAGTTCTCATAGTATTGGGTTTGAAAAGATCTTGAGAATCTCAAATTTTATAGTTTGCAGAAATAAGCTAGTAGGACTAGTACTCTTTTTATCATTTTCTTGTATTCTATCAAGAAAATGGTATCTACAAATGTTAAAATGACTTTGATTTTATGTCAGACTAAAATTATTTTTAGCCTATGAATGTATACTCTGGTTTAAATTTATATCTATTTTTAGCATGCAACTGTTTGAGTCTAGTCAATTAAGAAATAGAATGAATAAAAGTGGGAAAAAACCAAAATAAGTACTAATTGTTTTATCAGTAACACTTAGATCACATGCCCTTTTCTCTCCAATCAAACAAAGAAAGGAACTTCATTGAGTTCTTTTGCTTTTAAGTTGAGTTTCTAGATGAGTAAAATGTTGATCCAACTTTGAGTAAAAGTGAGATTTATCACTCTCAGTCCTATCTTCTCATGTGCAGCCTTTAAAACAGAGGCTACTCGATTCTGCTTTCGTACTACCAACCTCTTAAAGCATTTTCATATATGAAAACCATACGGAATTGTAGTAAATATACTTCCTACGAAAATTTTATCAAGTAAAACAACCGACCTTATTTACCCAGAACTTCAATCTTTTAATATAGGAGAAACAATTAGGTATAGAAATAGAAGGAAAAAAGTCGTCGAAAAAAACAGCAAAACCTTGAAAAAAATGGAAGAGTAAAGCCACCATTCCTGATAAGAATATTGCTTTAGTCCTTTGGAGCGTTAACAATCACCTCCTTGTAACAAATTGGGCAAGCCTGTTTGATTAGAAATGGTTAGCAATATTATTGGTAAAGCACTACGTAAGAAAATTTCCAAGGCAATTGGCTTACTTTATTGATACTGAGCCATTTGCTTCCACAACCTGCATGGTAGACGTGTTTGCAAGGAAGAGTCATCTGCCTATCACGTCGTTTGTACTCCATCTGGCAGATTACGCACCTATTAACGGAAAAATAAAAGGTCTGGTTAAACGCCGTCAATCTGAAAATCATTCTGAAGTGGATGAAAAAGCTCGATAGACAAACATTTGAGATACGGAACAAATAAAACATAGCGGCCATTAATTATTCATGATGCTAAAGTTTAAGGATTAATCTCCTTGTACATTATGGATG